CCTCAAACAAAAAACAAATCATCCAATTAAAAAATGGGCAGAGGAACTGAACTGACAGTTCTCCAAAAAAGAAATACAGATGGCCAACAGACACATGAAAAGATGCTCCACATCGCTAATTATCAGAGAAATGCAAATTAAAACTACAATGAGATATCACCTCACACCAGTAAGGATGGCTGCCATCCAAAAGACAAACAGCAACAAATTTTGGCAAGGTTGTGGAGAAAGGGGAACCCTCCTACACTGCTGGTGGGAATGTAAATTAGTTCAACCATTGTGGAAAGCAGTATGGAGGTTCCTCAAAAAGCTCAAAATAGAAATACCATTTGATCCAGGAATTCCACTTCTAGGAACTTACCCCAAGAATACAGCACTCCAGTTTGAAAAACACAGATGCACCCCTATGTTTATCACAGCGCTATTTACAATAGCCAAAAAATGGAAGCAACCTAAATGTTGTCCATCAGTAGATGAACAGATAAAGAAGATGTGGTGCATACACACAATGGATATTACTCAGTCATAAGAAAAAAACAGATCCTACCATTTGCAACAACATGTATGGAGCTAGAGGGTATTATGCTCAGTGAAATAAGCCAGGTGGAGAAAGACAAGTACCAAATGATTTCACTCATATGTGGAGTATAAGAACAAAGAAAAACTGAAGGAACAAAACAGCAGCTGAATCACAGAACCCGAGTGGACTAACAGTTACCAAAGGGAAAGTGGCTGGGCAGGAGTGTTGGGAAGGGAGGGATAAGAGCAGGGAAAAAGAAAGGGAGCCTTACGATTAGCGTTTATAATGTGGGGGGGCATAGGGAGGGATGTGCAACACAGAGAAGACAAGCAGTGAGTCTACCGCATCTTACTATGCTGATGGACAGTGACTGTGATGGGGTTTGTGGGGGGGATCTTGGTGAAGGGGGGAGTCTAGTAACCATAATGTTCTTCATGTAATTGTAGATTAATGATAATAAAATGAATTTAAAAAATGCCCCACAAATGTTCAAAAGATGTTTTCCTTGAGAGTATAAGATTTAAATAATTATGTAGTATAAAATAAAAGTTATGCTTTAACTGCATATTGGGTATTTTTCCTTGAAAACCCTCAAACTTGATTAGAGGACAAACTATGTTTTATTACTTAAATAGGAAATCATAGTTTAGATATTTTTCATCTCCTTGAAACATCAGCTCTCACTAAACAAGTGTATGCCTAGGTGGGTGTTGATTAATGGTGTTAAAAACCCTCTGTGTAGGATTTTATGTTAATTACCCTTTACACTCTGACCTGCATCAATTTTAACACCCTAAACTAACATTTTCTCCTAGGACTCAGGAATGTGAGAATTGTGAAACTGGCTCAGTAAGTTGAGTTAGCAGTGAGAAAATTGAGATGCTCCTTGTTTCTACATTAACATCTGTTGCTTGTTCAAAGTATGATCCTTTCAAAATGATGAAGATACTGAAAAACATGAGAGATGGGAGAGATAAGAGCACACTTATACTTTTGCAAAAATTGTAGTGTTTGACACTGTCATTAACAGTTCCAGGTAATGGGGGTTGGACTAATGAATTTTTGGTATGCAATGTTACAATGTTTGAGAAACCAATCGCATTATTGTAGATACATACATTTTAGCTTTTTGGTTACTTTGGCACCTGTGTAATAGAACATAGACTAAAAGACATTTGATTATGGAAAAACGTCAGGTTTTCTGGCGGGAGCCATGCTATTCAAGCTGTGTAGCGGAGCTCAGGCTGGAGTAAGACCCCCACAAAGCAGGGGCCTTCGCAGCTGGCTCCCCGTTAGACCCACCCTGATTTTGTTATTCTCCATTATGCTATTGGCTTTGCTTTTGCTTGCCAAAGACTAAGCTAACCTTTGATAAGCAGCATGGAAAGGAGGAGAACATAAACTTCCTAGAAGCTTTTCAGGACAGTGCTCCTGAAGAATAGAACACGCAGAGGCCAGATGGCAATCTTGGCATAGAATACCAAAACCTGCAGGTAGCTAGTCAAACATTGAGTACCCCATCTCCACCTAAGTGGGAATGCCCCCCTTTTTTGTAATGCTAGTGAAATTAGTGATGAAGAGCTATATAGGAAAATTAGAAAAAGAGTTATAGGGGAATACTGAATGGAATAACCCTGACACTTAATCAATCTTCTCATGTTTTCTTCCCTCTGCTACTTCTATAGTTTTTCTTCTTCCTTCCTAATTACAGCCCTTTACTAGAATTTGTGCTTCATATGTGAAATTACCAAGTATCATAATTCTTCCAAGTGGTAAAGATACCTCAAGACAAGTGCTGGGCATAGAAGCCACGGAGCATAAATCTGCAAAGAAATGAAAAACTAACCTTTTCAAAGAACATTACTTCTCTCTCACTTACCAGCTTTACATCTTCCTGTATGGCTCCAGAAGATGGCTGGTTAGCCAGAGACAGGTTAAGATTCCTCAAGGGAGGAACAACCTAAGACAGGCACAGTCGCAGGGGGGCCATCAGGTGAGAAAATGGGGGCCAACAGAGGTGAGGCTTAGAACCTCACCCCCCCCCCCCAGTTTTGAGAGAAATTGTCTACACCATGGATGTTCTGTTGCCCTTGTCTGGCTTGGATTAATACCTAGTCTATAGGCACAAACCTGATCATCTACACTTGCCTTCTTACAGTTCTAAATCATGCTTTCTATCTTTATCTTGCATCTACCTATGATAGAATAAATATTATGAGGAGATAAAATGTACCCATTGTATTAGAAATATAGATGATGATACCTGTCTAGCTGATAGACTCCATAGTCACTTCTACATGCTGCACGTTTCTGTGGTCACATGCATTACTTAGAAACCGCTTTGTATAGAAACAAGAAACACAATAAAGTACATGTTGCTAGGAAAAGTTTCGGTCAAGGAACAGAAAAAAAAAATCACCTAACACTTGGCTAACCATGTATAGATTAGAAGGAAACAGAAAGAAAAAGCTTGCCTATGCTTGTTAATCAAAAGAACAAATTAAAAATAATCACATCCTTGTGCAAAATGGTATAAATAAAGCTGTCATCAGCATTTTGTCGAGAGACCACCTCCATCTGACTCTGTGTCCTGTCTCTCCATGCACTGACTCCCTCTCATCCTTTCGGGCTTCACACCCCTCCACTGGAGCTGGACTCCTGCAGTTTTCCAGTAAAAGTTCTTCATTTTATTTTTCAGATAGCTTAAACAGGAAACACATGCGTTTCCCGATGGTTCTTTTAAAAATAAAATACCAAACCTCTTCAAGGAGAAAGATTTATAATAAACTTCCTCCCATAAAATGGGATGTGGACTCAGACATTTGAAAATCAGATGTAAACTATCCAGAGAAGAATCTTTATCCAGTACCTGAATGATCTCTTCTAGGTTTGTGAACTTATCCTGTTTCTTGTCATTATCATAAGCTATAGGACCCAAGATATACTCAACAATGTTAAGGCGACACATTATTAGAAGCAAAACTTCAGCTTCAGATGAGCACTCAGCTGCTACCAACACACAGAGCTAAGTACTTGCTTTGTTGTGCACACACTGCTGGTGAAACTTGCACCACAGAATAGTTCTCAGTTCACAGTTGAATATCCCCCAAACTCTTTGGCTTGTTCCCCGAATCCAAAACTGCTGACAGTTGAAACCTGGATGCTGATTGAACTGGATTATTTAGTTCTAGTTTCCCCAACATTCTGGCAAATAATTGTGTGGGGATCTAGACTTCTCTGTATTCCTCCAAGTTCTAGCATAAGAAACAAACTTTTTAGAGAGCATGGCTGCCTCCAATACCTGCAACATCCAAGCCCAGAGCAAGTGTAGCCTAGACTGGGTTTTGTGTGTGTGTGTGCGTGTGTGTGTGTGTGCATGGCATAAGATTCTAACTATATGCACACTTTTCTTCTGTAAATACATAACGTTTTGTAGGTAGTTGATGTGTTAATCTTTATTTTGTATTTATGTAAAACCAGTGAATATAACTAAATATTAGTGAATTGGATGAAAAGAAATTGGTTAGTAAACAAGAAACGGATGTAGTTCTCCATGACTACTTTTAGCTATGCAAACTAATATTTCCTGCAGGTTTACAGCTCAGCACCTTCACTTTTTTTTTAATTTTTTTTATTAAGGTATCATTGATATACACTCCCCTTCGTGAGATGCTGAGTTCTCGCAGATGTAGATGTAGCCTGGCTACTGCACTGTATCTGCTGTCTCTCTTTTAGGAATAGTAGTATTTGTTGTATTTTCAAAAATATATATGGTTTTGTGAGATTTCCGCCACCCTACTCACGCCGCCATCTTGAGCCGGAAACCCACACTGTCACCTTTTCTTCAGTGGTATTTCACGTAATGCATCAACCACTGTCATTTTTGCTGGTGTTGAAGCCGGTCCTTGGGAACTGGATGCATGGCCGCCTTCGCCAACCAACGCCGCCTGCTGCCCACGCCCACCCACGTCGCCTCTCGCCTCTGACTCAGCTGCCCACCTGCAGACAGCAGCCTCGGATGTCCCTCAGCGCCCGCCCTACCCAGACACCGACTGTCCCGGCAGCGCTAGCGGCTGAAGCTCCCCGCTCGCCAGCCAAGCCTCAGACACCAAGGCAGCCGGACCCCGAGGTCGCCACCCGCTTCCGGTACCCACCACTTCCTCCCTCCGCCAAGACGCAGCCACCCGCCTGTACCCGCCCGCCAAGACCTCCCGCTGACGCCGCCGTCGCTCGCCAAAGCCCTGCGCCCTCCAACACCAAAGGTTCGCGGCCTTCTACCGCAGCCTCCTCCGCCTGCTTCAGGGATTCCTCCCGCCAGGGTCCCTGTGCCATCCTCCTCTCGGCGGCCTCTCCTCCTCGTAGCAGCAGCTCACAGTAGGGAGGGCGGCGTCGGGGGACGGGGAGGGATCTAGCAGGGAAGGCGTCTACTGAGGGGGGCTGCAGGCTGGGGCGCTTCAGCGGCTGTGTCTGCGGGCGGGAGTCCGAGCCCGCCGTCTGCAGGTGCACAGTGAGAGGAGGCAGCGGGCGACCACGGCGGCGTTGGGCGGGCGTTGGGCGGTGGTGTCTGCAGTTGGGGGCAGCGTCTGTGGGCTGCAGTCGTTGCTGGGCCATCGCTTCCGCAGCGGTGGGAGGCGGTGGTGTCTGTGCGCGGGGCGGACCTCCGAGGCTGCCCACTGCAGGTGCGCAGCCAGAGGCGGCGGCGGGCTGCGGTGGACGTGGACGGGCGGCGGCTTTGTCAGTGGTGGGCGGTGTGGGGCTGCGATCAATGGAGAGCCTTGGAGTCGGGCGCCGTGACATGCCCTGGCGACAGTAGCAGCGGGCAGAGGCGGTGTCGCTGCGGGAAGGGAGCGGGTGGTGAGCCGTAGGCGGTGACGGCGGCGGGCAATGTGGGTAGGAGAGAGGAGCAGCATCTTAAGGGCGCAAGGTGCTGGCCTGCAACCAAAGCCGCTGACGCCGCCCGCCTCCGCGCAGCTGGCCGGGATACCAAACACCATTCCATGCTGCCTCCAGCCGCTCCAGCCCCGCCCTCTGCCGAAGCGCAGACGCCTGCAGCCACCCGCCCCAGAGCCCACCTCCCGCCTGTCCCCGACCGCAGATTCCTCCTGCTGACACCCGCCCCGGCCTCCTGCCGACACCGCTGCCCGCCAATGCCTTCTCCCGCTGACAGGGCCTTCGCTGCCTCCACCAAAGCCAACCGACGCCCAGTGCCTGCTACCTCAGGCTCCTGCCACCGCCAACAGGGGCCCCTTTGCCAGGGACCCGGCTCCCTCATTCCCACACACGCTTCCAGCCTTACAGTAGACTCAGCTCATAGTAAGTAGCCGCCCTCACGTTGGCTTTTTGATGAGGGAGTTTGGAGGTGGTGCGTGGGCCCTGGGAGGAAAGTGGAAAGCTATGGGTGGTCGTTCGAAAGCTATGGGAGGTACAGGCACTTACCCAGCCAGGAAGATGACCAGGTCTCAGCAAATTTACCTTCTAGTTCTGGACATCAAAAGTCTTGCTGTGCTCCTCCTTCACATGACTGACTGGAGCCCATGGTCTCCACCCCCTAGCAAAGCTGCAGATAGCAGCTGCCTCACTGCTGTGCACAGGCCACCTGACCCCTGGGCCTATCAGCTTGGTCTGGCCACTTACTTGCCTGCCTTTCAGCCTGAGCCTCCAGCGGGCTGGTACAGAGGCCCAGAAGACTGGAGCCAGGAGACTCAGGGTCCAACCACAGGGGGCACACAGGAGAGCCATACAGGCTTCTATCAACATCTTGTCTTTGAAAGTGGTCTGGAGCTGTATGAAAATGGGATGTCAGCCTCAGCTCAGCAATGAGGAGGGGAGATGCAGCTGGTCATCACACCCCCTCCCAGCCCCCCATTCCCCCATTCCTGTCCCTGGCGTGTGGCAGGGAGTCCCCAGGATGCCACTGTACTGGGACAGTTAGGCATTGTCAGGAGACTGGTGCTGGGGAGGGTGCTGCTCAAGGTCACACAACCAGGTGAGCTGGGCCAGGCTGGGGACCCCTGAGTCACAGGCCAGTGTCTCTCTGTTGCCTGGCCTGGACTCCACTCCCTGGTCAGACTTGTCATCCGTGTGTTTGAGCATTGGCTGCATGTGCCCTTGGGTGAGCATTGTGGCTCTCCAGCTTCATGGGCCTGGAGCCAGTCGGGTGCCAGGCACGGCCGGTGCTATGAACAAGGGCTGACCACCCGAGTCCTACACTGGCCACCAGGAGACCTGGTTGTACCCTGTATGCTGCCGTCAGCATCCTCAGGTACCTCAGTGTCCTCAGCGTCTCAGTGTACCTCAGTGGGAACAACAGTAGTGTCCTGCTAGTGGTCCTGTTGGGGGAGCCAAGGGAGGTGAGAGCTGAGGGGCAGTGCTGCCATTGGGTTCCCTGGCCCCAGAGAAGCACTGTGGCCCTTCCCCTTTGGCATGGGCCCAGCAGCCCCTCAGACTGCCTCCCTGCTGCCACTCTGCCACTTGGCACCAATGCACAGGTGCCCTTCACAAGCTGCAAGGCAGCTCCAGGGAGTGCTTCACCTCCTCCCATATCCCCTGCCAGTGGGGACCTGCTTGCCCTAGTGACAGGGAACTCATTCCCTCCCCTGGTAACTTCCTTCACCACCACCCTTCCTCCTGTTCTGCCCTCCCAGCCTACCCAGGGATCTGACCCCAACACCCTGCCATGCAGTCTCACAGTGATCAAGTATGCAGGGACTGAGCTGCAGAAAAGTCAGTGGCCACCAAGACAGCTGTACACCAGGATGCCTTGCCAGAAGCTGCCACCCGTGGTGCACCCCTTGCTGCCCCCATGGGGGGATGGGTGAAGGAGGCTAGGCTGTAGGCCTCAGGTCCCAGAGAGGATTCAGGCCCAGGCCTGGCTCTCAGTCACACCTGTGCTCCTCCACACTCATGAGGGACACTGGGACATGGCCAACATTTGAGGTTTGGGAAAGGACATACATAGAGCCCAGGTGTCAACCCTACTCTGTCACTCAGGTCCCCTCTATGCAGAAGGGCTCTGAGACACCAGGGACCCAAGTAGTTCTGCCTGCAGCTGTGTTCTGGAAGCACCTGGGCAGGGGCAGGTCCACCCACAGTCCATGGCACCAGCATCCCCAAGTGCCAGACCTGGCAGGAACTTGCGCCTTCCTGCTCCCACCCTTCCACTCTGGTTCCAGATCTGAGGTTCCCACCTCTCTCTGTCTGCCTTTCCTCCAGCCCCTGTGCTACCAGGGGTGGCTTCCATTAGGCTGATGACAGGAACTGCCACCTGGAGACACCCTTTGTTCTCAGGGCTTCAGGAAGCAGAGGGATCAGGATGGGGGTTACCCTCCAGACAGCCCAGCTGACAGCTGGTGTTGACCCAGCTCTTCAAGTGTCTGTGGACCTGAGGTGGGGGAACAGGGCTATGGGGGTGCAGGCCCCTGACCTAGGTACGGCTCTCTGCAGAGGAAGGGTACAGCCGTGGGGCAGTCTTGGGGGGTTCCCCAGAGGGATCTCAGGGACCCCAGTGTGCCTTGACCAGTCATGAGTGCTGCTATCTCCAGGAGCCTGGGCCCATCCATTTTCCAGAATCCCTCTTGGAATTCTCCCTGCCCTCACAACAGGTACTACCTCTCAAAGAGAGCCTGAAAGGAATGAGCTTCACAAACACTCCTTAAAATCCACCTCTGAGGGCCCCCGAGTTAGGAGCATTAATCTCTGTGCTGCTCCTACCAGCTGGACCCTTCAGCAGCCCCAACCCAGCTGCTTGCTTGTTAAGTCTGAGGACCTGAGCCCACCATGCCCCTCTGCTGAGATCTGGATATCCTCTGATGCAGCCTAAATTTGAGGAAGGCCCGAAAGGCAGCCTGGTAAAGCTGGAGGACCTGGGCTCTAAGCTGGCATGGCACTCCTGGGCATGGAACCACCTGTCCCCCAGCTGTAGCCTCCAAATAGAGCCTGGAATCCTGTTTCACTTCCCCTGGTTTGCCCTAATGGGTGCAGATCACTAAGGCCTAAGTACCCAGCTCATGGCCCAGTGAAGCACCCCCTTCCAAGATGGGTACAGTTCCCATGTACAAATGGCCCCTGTAGGCTCTCTCACCAAGGCTTACAACTTTGGGAACTGCACCCTGTGGAGGCTGTCTGAACTGGAGACAGCACGTCACCCAGCCAGGCCAGGGCTGGAGGGGAGGAGGCAGCAACCCTCTGCTCTTGGGTGGCCCACACAGGGCACAGTCCTGGTCATCCCTTGAATCTGACCTTGCCTTTCTCTGCCAGGAGTGGAAGCAGGTGGGGAAGGGACACTGAAATGCAGTCCCTAGTAGGTGCTCTGGTTTCCCCTGAGTCTTATTGAGCAGAGTCACCTGCAGCCCCCTGACTGTGTGGGGCTGCAGGGGTTGGCGGGCACCATGTGAACTTCCCGGAGGGGAGCCCTGCCCATGCAGGTTCCCGGGAGGCCAGAGTGAGGCTCGGAGGAGCCTCTCACAGGCCCCTGGCTGCCAGGAGCAGTGAGGCCCAGCCTCAGCAATGGTCCCAGGAGACACCTCCTCTGAGCCGCTGGGACGCAGGTGCCAAAGCAGACTGGCCCACTGCCCATTCCCATTCCCAGGCATCCCAGTGCCCAAGGCCTTCCTAGGACTTGCCCATGAACATCACCAATCCTGGTCAAAGAAACACTGGACACAGGCCATCATGGGGATGGGTCAGACAAACAGAATGTCAGGAAGAAGGCAGAGAACAATCAGAAAGATTAAGAGAAGAAAATCAGACCAGCAGAAAACAAGAAGATGGGAAGGCAATGACAGGAGAGTAGGAGGGAGGCCTGAGGAGCAAGCCTGGCCATCTCCCAGGGTGTAGGGGCTCATGGCACCTTTGGGCCCTGAGCATTCCTGAGGGCCTGGGGTCTGCGGCCTGGGCCTCTCCCAGCCCCTGTACTGCACCATGAGGAGTGCTAGTGCTGGGCCTCTCAGGGGCCCCAGGCTGGGCCCAGTGCACAGGGCAGCCACTGCAGCCTGGGAAGGGGTTTCAGGGCCCTGGGAAATTAGGCCACACCCAGAGACCCTGACTCTTCACCCAGGCTCCAGAACCATAGCTGGGAGGATGGGCATAGCTGGGAGATAATGGGCCTCAGGCCACCCTACTCCCAGACTGGGCAGATAAGGACCCCCAGTGGTGGGCAGTGATGGCAGAGCACTGTTCTGGAAGGTGGGATTGGCTCTCCCCACAGGTGACCCCTGCCAATCCTGTTTGACAAGGCTGCCCTCCTACCCACCACCCTGCCACAAGCATGCAGTCACAGGTACACGGGTGGGCTGACACCCTAGGTCACAGGTTGGCAGGAAGGAGTCAAGGGCCGAAGTGGTCCCATGGGAGGAAGTCCAGTGGGTGCTCTGCCTTGCCCTGCTACACTCCTTGGGCTCTCTGGGTGCCTGGAAGCAGCCTCTGTAGGGACACATCTGGTGCTAGAGCCCACAAAATCACAGGCACTTGGCCCAGTTTGCTCTGAATCAGGCATTGCTAGCTCCTGGCTCCCATCTCTGAGATGTTGCTCAGGACGTTGGCTTGAACTCCAGAGCCCAGCCTTCTGTGTGACTCTGGGCACTGGGTACACACAGGCCTTTGTTTCATCTCTGCAAGGTGGAAATGGGAATGCCTAAGGTCATTGAGGGTAAATGAGAAGCTGCACATGAGAGCCCCAGCTGCATTGTGGAGGTGTCTCCTGGGCAGGCTGGGCCTTGGGGCACTGGGCCCACATGAGCCTGAGTGCTCAAGAGTTGATGCCCTGGACTCCAGGAAAAGGGGGTCTCAGCAAAACCAGGCAACTAGCCCTTGCTGAGTGGCAGCGGAAACCATCCCAGGAGGTGAGCACCAGGCCATAAACACAAAAAGGAGAGTCCAGCAAGATAAAGTAATGTTCCTTCAGTGGGAGAGGGGACAGCTGGGATTCACAGGCAGGCTTACAGATCAATATTTGTGTGCTGATTTGCTGAAGAGGCTTTTATGAAGTTTAAGCAGAGTTCATTGTTAGTACTCTTATGTTCAAAGGATGTGGGCGGCCATATTAATTCCTTTTCTCTTACAGATCAATAATTGCATTGCTGATTTGCTTAAAAGGCTCAGGTCGAGGCAGGGGTAGGGAAATGGGCCTCACTGCTCCAGAGGGGGTGGCTGAAGGTCCAGGAACACTATGCTGTGTTTGACGAAGACCACCAGTGTCCAGGGAGGCTAGGTGACAGAGGGACATGTGGCAAGTCAGTTGGCCTCTGAGGAGCCAATCCAGGGCCACCTGCAGTCCCTGAATCCCCTCTGCCCCCATCCCCTTCTATCCTTGAAGCCCTCGTCCCAGAGCTGAGCCAATAATAAGGATCTGCCTTCCTCTGGCAGGGTCTCTTCACCCCATTCACAGGGACTCTGCCCTGGCCTCCTCTGCCCTTCCCAGAAGCACATCCCACAAGCCCAGCTCAGAAGAGCTGGGAAAGGAGGTCCTGCCAGGAGGGAAGAGGGAGAGGACAGGCCCAACAAACTGAGGCTGACAGAGCGGCTGATGCCTACACTGTTCTCAAGACAACCAGTAAGATGACCAGGAACTGTGCCCCAAACAAGAGTCATACTCAGGCCAAAGAGCAAGCCCACCTTGCAAGGAAAGAAGACAGGATGAGGCGGCCAAGGGAATTTTCTCAGCCTTGACTGTCAGCCTTGATGTTCGCTCTCTGGTGTTGTGAAGCCAACGGAGTGTGGCTAATGTCTGTGTCTTCGAACAATCACCTTGTTTGCTCCTGACTGCTAAGTCTTGGCCTTGTCTGGCAAGGTGTTCTCATGGCCAGGAGCTTGGGTGGTCTACAGAGCAGCCCTGTGGGGTATGGTCCTAGCCCTGGAATAGGGTCCTGGGCTGGGCCTGTCTGGATGTCTGGACAGCCTGGAGGTTCAGCTGGAAGATCCCAGTCAGAAGGAAGGAAGGAAGGAAGGAAGGGAGGAAGGGAGGAAGAAGGGAGGAAGGGAGGAAGGGAGGAAGGAAGGAAAGGAAGGAAAGGAAGGAAGGAAGGAAGGAAGGAACTGGGCTGGGACTTGCCTGACCTCAGTGGTGAAGAGTACCTATACTTGATTAATAGTGTCTGCCATGGGCTCTGTGTGGGATGGGGTGGCACATCTGCTGTATATTTTCAGCTACACATGAGCCACTGAATCTGTTTGGCATCAAGACACCATATGGCTTGAGGCCTCGTTTGCAGAATCTCCTGGAAATTGTTGGATCCTGACTCAGGGGGCTCCCAGGGTCTCCTGCCTGACCCTATACATGTACACAGGTGCATAAATGCTGTTGGGAAGCCATTATGAATTCTATTTCATCTAATAGCCTGGTCAGGAAATGGAAAGGTATATTACAGATCATTAAGTGGGTAAAGGAATTTGACAACCTTTGATCTGAGGAAAATAGATGCCCTGAATTAATTCACTGGCTTCTGGGAAAAGAAAAGTCATCCTTCAATAGTGATAGGCAGGGAGCTCACCCCTGGGGGCTGGCCCCAGGAGGGCAGGCAGCAGCTCTCTTGGGAGCCAGGGCTTGGATGCAGGGGGGCCGGCAGGTGATCTGAGGGCTGCAGCCTCTGGGCTGCCCGCTCCCCACTGCTCCAGTCCAAAGCACAGGCATGTCCCTCACTGTAACATTCCAGGACAGGACCCTGGCTCCCAGGCACTGTCTACTGAGGCAGGGGATAGACAGGGACAATGCCTGCAGTAGGCACTGCTGTATGACTGGCCTGTGCATAGTGCTCAGGTACCACCACAGTCTGTCAGGGTCTCTAGGCCTGACCCATGGGGGAGGCCAGGAACAGGAGCCCAGGGAAGGAGTGTCATTGCAGGATCACAGATCCAACATCCAGTCATAGACATTTCCCCTTAGATGTCCAGTGGGCACCAAATCCTATTCCCCAACATGCCCCCTGCAGCACCCCACCTCAGCTGAGGGCAGCTCCGTCCTTCCAGCTTCTTAAGTTTCAAGCCCTGGTCTCTCCCTGGGCACCTCATCTTGTCCCTCACATCCCATCTTCCAACAGGTTCTGTGGCCTGTATCTTCCAAATACACCTAGAATCGGACCTCTGCTCACTTCCCTGTCCAGCCTGCTGGAGTCCCTCTTGTTCTTTCTCAAATCCTGCTCCAGCCTCTGCCTGCTCCTCCATGCCCACCAGTCCTACAGCCCATCCTCTCCTAGGAGCCAGTGTTGGAGACGTGTAGTGGCTTCCCCTCCTTCCCATGGCAACTTCTTTGGCCTCACTCTGCTCCCCTTTGAGCTCCCTCTCCTCTGGCCCCTTGCTCATCTCTATCCCATCAGGCCACTGCCAGCCAGGGCCTTGGCTCTGGTGTCCCCTCTGTCTGGCACCTCACTGATGCTGTCCTTGGTGAATTCTTCAGCCCTTCAGGCAGGATACCTGGGTGTTTTGTCACTGCTATGTCCCAGTGCCCAGAACCAGACCTGACACGTGGTGAGCCCTCAATTGATACCTGTCGAGTGAATGAAGAAGCTTGTGCAGGCTGAGCAGGCCCAGGGGCAAGCATGAGCCCACAGGCTACCAGGGGCCATGCCCTCAGCACTGGGAAAATCCCCCAGTGCAGATGAGAAGCAGCCATGGAAGCAGGAACTTCTGGGGAGGCAAGTATGGGGCATGGGCCCAGGGGAAAAGATACCCTGGCAGAATCCTTCCCACAGGTTGAGGGATGTTAGGTGACCAGGACAAGAGGAGGCCTCCATTCTGACAGCACAGCTGGTATCCAGGCTGGAAGGCATGAGGTGTCCAGGCCTGATAGGCCACTGCATGGGTGCAATGTGGCCAACCAAGGCAGAGAGCAGGTGGGGACTACTCATAGGGGTACCAGCCCAGCATCAGCTCTTGAAAGGCAATAGAGAATTTTAATGGGGGCGGACATGACATCATTATTACATTTAGGAAGTTAAACTGGCAGTGACTGCAGGAGAGATTGGAGAGGAGATGAAATGCAGGTAGAACAGTGAGGAGGCAGGCAGGAAGTGAGAAATAGAAAGCAGGTGAGCAGGAGTGGGGGAGTATGTGAGCAATTTCTTAGAGAGTTCCCAGCTTCAGCACTCAGACTTAGGCATGTTCCTTTATCTTTCCTGTCCTCAACCTCCCCACCTGTAAAATGGGTTAACAATGATACTCTCTCAAGGGCAGACTGAGGTTAGATGAGGCAGGTGTGTAGGGTATCTGCCCCAGGCTTCCCTGGTCCCCAGAAGAAGTGAAGACCACGCAGCATCTCTGAGCCACCACTTCCACTCAATGCTCATGTTCTCTGCCTGCTGATAGCTCAGTGGGGCAAAGCCATGATGCCTAATGAGACCTTTCTCGGAAAACACCCAGTGCTCAGCTGAAACTCCCCCTCTCTATGTAAGGCCACTGGATCCATTAGGTTTGAGTGCACTATCATATTGCTGGAGTGATTGTTCCGCAAATAGGATTACTTCCTCCAGTTATCATCTAAAGAGACAGGCCCTGGGATATGGGCGAGAGGTGCCAAGAGCCCAGAGCCAAATCAAATCAGGGACCTGGCTCTTCGGAGATGGGCCTGGCACAGGGTCCGCTGAGGCAGAAGAGAGATCAGAGGGTAAGCAAGGGTCAGTAGAGGGCTGTACAGAGGAGTGAGGAAGGTGGGTTGGCCTTTTTGCAGAGGCAGGTACTGGTCGGTTAACCAGAGAGGCAAGGGACCCAGCACGTCCTAACAAAGGTTCTGATGCTGCGGGAGGGGTGGGGAAGAGCCTGGTTGGCTAGAGGGGCAGCTGAGGCAATAGAATGGGGGACTCCAGGCAAGCGAGGGGTCCAGGTGAGGGAGAAACCCTGGAGAGGGTGTGCTCTTGAGGTGGGCAGCAGGGCGAACTTGGATTGGATGTAGGAGTGAGGAACAGTGGTGGGGGACTCACAGGGATGTTATCCTGACTAGCAGAGATGGGCCAGTTCAGGCAGGGAAGAGATCTGGGAAGTATCCTGGCCCACTTCTGGCCCCTGGGTACCAGACTCTGTAGGCATCCAAGGGGATGCAGATTTGTGGTTGCCCTGAGTCTGGAGTTGAGGAGAGGTGGGGCTAGGGGAGAGGTGGGGCTGAGGAGACCAGGGACTAAGAATAAGCAGGGCCCAGGAGAGGTGGGGCCCAGGGTGAAGCGGGGAGGAGGAGAGGAAGGGCCAGAGGAGAGACAGAGCTGGGGATGGGTGCGGCTCAGGAGAACAGAAGATGGGTGGGGTCCAGGGAGAGGTGGGGCTGAGGATGGGTGGGATCATGGAGAGGAGGGCCCAGGGTGTGTCTCTGAATCACCAGCTGGAGGGGACAGTGGACTTGGAGGGGCTGAAAGAGACCACAGGAGAGGGACGAGGATCTATTAATGGTGCCCTACATCTGCAAATCAGGTTGAGGAGGGAGAACTCTTCTGAGGAGCAGGCACAGTAGAACTTGTCTCCAGGTAGAGGGCCTGGCTGCTGCAAGCTCTGGGCCACCAGCAAAGGCAGGCCTAGTGGTTCCTTTGCACAGCTACACACAGCTTGTCCCTCCTCTGCCTTGAGTTCGGATCCCAGGGGTTTCCAGGACATAAGTCGCTCTGCCCCCTCTGACTTCCACCAGGTCAGGAGGGCACCCTGCATCCTCATGTCAGACCAAATCATGCTGAACCATCTCATTTGTCTCTGTTCCCCCACAGCACTCAGCAGGTAGTAGACACTCTGAATGTTTGTTCCATTAAATTGAATAAACCAGGGCATTTTATTATCTCGTTCCTGTTCAGAAGTGAGCTTGCCTCCACTTACATCTGGACCCATCATTCAACGTGCTTACTTCACAGAGCTGAGTCACAAATATGCCAGATTAGGATCCGGTCAATACCTGTTTTATTGTTCTTCTACACCAGTACAGCAGCACATGATCAATTGCCCTCCTGGCTGCTGCTAAGAAGTGCTCTCAGCTCAGTCAGAGGAGCCCTCAGGCCCTGGAGCTTGAGGACCCAGGTCCCCTCGCCTCCCAACTCCAGAAGCTCTGCCCTCTGCCATTCTGCCCCCAACTCTGTGATGACACTTGGAAGGGAGTGGAGGTAAATGTTTAACACTTGTGGTAGATAACACATGTTATTCCCTGGTGTCTGATCCAGGGACTGGTCTGGGAAGAGGTGGCTCTGGTTCAGGTGGAGGACCCTGGGGTGGCTGATGCCCCTCAGCTACCCCTTCTTGGCTTCCTGAGTGAGAGCTACTTATTCTCACATGTCACCCATCATGACTGGACCCCGACTCCTGAGCTCACCATCCCAAAACAGCCCAGCTCCTGGCCTCCTGTGGTCCTCGCTGTGCACAGGGACCTTGCCTTTCTCATGGCTGCCCTATGGCGAGTGTCACCTGGCCTGGACCTGTTAGAGGAGAGCCCCCTGCCCTGGCACGGTGGGCAGAAACATGGCAGGGTGGGAATCCAGGGTGGCTAGAATATTAGAGTGAGGCCCCATATCCCATTTCCCTGAGGACTAGCCCTTGGGTTCAAAGCCACAGGAGCCAGGCAATGTCCACAAACACCTATGTGAAGACGCAGCTGCTCTGTTTCACATTCTCAGCTTCACTACCCGCCCTCCTGGCTCCTGGTTGGACAGAGTGCATGCCCCTGTCCTGGTGCTCAAGCCCAGACTCCATGCCCTGGGACCCTCAGGGCAGGCTTAGGCTGTGACTGGTAGAGGGGCTTCTATTGCCCCCTCCCCTCATTGCATGCACCAGCATATATACAGAACACCCTGGACTAGACGTGGGGTCTTGGCCAATCCTCAGTGACTGTGAGAAAGATGTTTATTCCCATTTCATAGATGAAGAATTAAGACTCAGAACCTTCTGGTCCCTTTCCACAAGGCCTCTCCTCATCCAGGAGGACATGCACCCACGGTTAGCCATTAAGTCTACATCTGCCCTTGGGGCTTCCTGGAGCAAGTCTGGCCTCCTGTTCTGTCCAGCCCTGCAAGATTCTGAAGAACTGCAGTATGCCAGCTCCCCAGGGCTGCCTGGAGCAAGTCTGGCCTCTTGTTCTGTCCAGCCCTGCAAGATTCTGAAGAACTGCAGTATGTCAGCTCCCCAGGTCTGCTCTCTCCAAGCCAGCCTCCCAGCTCCCTCAGTGTCGTGGCTGCTACTCAGCACACTGAGGCCAGGACCAGTACCTGCATCCCTTCACCTGGCCATGGCCATCCTGTTTGGGGACAGGGTGTGAGGGAGGCACAATTCACAGTTCACAGCGCCTGTAGCCAAGGCTGCCATTGCCCCACTGTGGATTGGCACAGCTTTGGGGAAGGAAGCTCTGCCAGCCTGCTCCAGCCTGGTCTCAGCCTCTGTTCTGGAGTGACTGCACAGCCCAGGTGGCACTGGCTGGTGACAGTGGTGGCCAACTCACTGAGAGACGCTGGGGAGTCACCCAGCCAGGGCCATGGATTCTTCAAGCCAAAGGGGCTGACAGCTAAGAAGCAAGATGGAATCTGAGTAGAAAGACCCCCCTGTAAACCACCAAGAGGCCTAGCCTTTTCTCCTCTGGGCTCTTGTCCCTCTGTGAAAGCCTCTCTTCCAACTCCCAGTCCCCACCACTCACTGCTTCTCACACTGAACAATCACGGCCATTAGCGGTCATAGCAACCAAGATGGGGAAAAGTTATTTTCTAGAAGGGGCCCTCTGCAAATTATAGCTTTACACCAACCTATTGCCAATCTTTTTAATTAAAACATTTTGCTTTCAACTGGACTAATAGCAGAGATCAGTAAACAGGGGATGCCGGAGTCCAGCTCCAGCTGAGGTGTGGGTCACGAAGGAGAGGACAGCACCGGTGAGTGAAGAGATGAGTGAGGAGACGAAACACATGATTAAGGTTGTAACATCTGACATCAAGCAGCAGGGTTTTTATTTTTATATCTTTTTAAGGTTTACATAATGTTACACATTTTCTTTGATCATGGATGGTACAATTTTTTTTCCTTTCAGTTTTTGTATAATTCTGGCTCATTACAGATGTTATCATTTTTTTGAACAGCTTTCTTGTAACATTTAGTATTTAACTTTCCCTTAACTTTTTTGGCTGGAGATACAGGTTACTTGCTAGATGCTAAACAGGAAATGGGATAAGACAGTGTGTGGGCTAAGCATGTGGGCTATGATTTTTACTTATAAGCATGTAAGATTATATAGAGTTTAAGATATGTGTCTAAGACTAGAGTTTAAGCAGGTTATATAAAATGCAAACTATATGTCTTCTGGTTATTAAATGTAGTATTAATTAAAACTTATCTTACACATGTGGGTTGAGGCTTACATTTAAAATTCAGGGATGGTACTCCTATCACCCATTCCTTAACATTCCTACAAATGCAATAAAAACACCTTATTCTTTTATAATATTCATTCTACAATTTTAGATGTTTACACCTTTCCTCCTGCATCTACAGGCACTAGGGCCTTGCAGACCTCTTTATCTTTTATGTAATAACACTAAATCTGCTCTTATTACTTTACCATTAATATAATGATATTTTGTCATGAATTTACTATAAACTTTTATATATGGGATATTTATAAATATAAATTTTCCTATTTTGCTCATAAATTCTTTCTATGTGGGGGATACCAGAGGTGTCTTCTAATATTATAAACAACATAAGGGGGACCTTGGGCAGTGGGGACTCTTAATCTTTATTACTTTGCTGTTTCATATAAATTTCTTGGAAAAGTGGGTTTTTCTATGGGGGTTTTTCTATGGCCCAGTTTACCATAACTCTTGGTTAATCATGTTTCAATTGTTACTTATAAATATAAATTTTCCTATTTTGCTCATAAATTCTTTCTATGTGGGGGATACCAGAGGTGTCTTCTAATATTATAAACAACATAAGGGGGACCTTGGGCAGTGGGGACTCTTAATCTTTATTACTTTGCTGTTTCATATAAATTTCTTGGAAAAGTGGGTTTTTCTATGGGGGTTTTTCTATGGCCCAGTTTACCATAACTCTTGGTTAATCATGTTTCAATTGTTACAAAAGGAGGAACAAACTGCATCTAGTTTTGAGAGGCCTGGGTTTTTCTGCCTCACTTATTTGTGGCAATATGCCTGGAACAGTTGGTCCCATTACACTGCTTTCATTTCCGGAATTGCTGCTTTGATCAATATTTGGGGTTATGTTATTTACTAAAGATTAATAAATCTTAAATACATAAGATTTACCATATATGAGCCCAATCACCAACATCATAACTGCAAAAATAAGGGCAGGAATTACAGGGGCCAGCTATGAAGTTTCCTGTTTTCAGGATTCCTCCTCATGCCTGGACCTTGTCAAACAGCATGAGCAGCATGGCCCGTGCCAAGGGGAGATTGAATTACTGATATTGAAGCTCCCACATCTCTTAAATGGCTTAATTACTGGTGGGACCACAGTAAGGCCAGAGAGGGGCTGCTCACAAGCAGATGGGCTCACCCACACAGGCCAGCAGCCCCTGGGAAGGTGACCATGTGAAGCACTGAAAGGAAATAACTCTAAAACAATGTTTAGAACTCTTGAAGGATGTAAAGCTCTGCAGAGTTATGGCTACCATTCAGTTTCCAGGGTGTGAGAAACACACTCACTGGTCTAAATTCAACAAGTGGACACGGAGACAAAGAGAACAGCGGAGCGAGGGTTTAATGACTGTCTTGCAAGATCCGGTGTCTGGGCAGGCACACCTGGGGAGTTTGGCGCCAATAATTTATCTCTTAGTGTGCGAGTTCCTCCCCTGGTTCTTCCTTGGCTGAGTACTACAGGGTTCACATTCTTTCCCGGACGTTGCCTAAGCTAGTTTATCTTTCTTTTACATTTGTCTTAATCTTATTGGTAGGTTTAAAAAACTCAAACAGTTATCTCCAGGTCCTTATCAATTCCCCCACCCCCACCCTCAACCCGAGTAGCTTCCATCACATGGCCCTTTGTTAAACTGTTAAAATGTTTAAACATCCTAGTGGGAATAAATCACATTTAGGTTTTATACTCTTTCCTAACAGTTCCCCCCTCTTTTTATTTAAGAACTTCTGATTTTATTCCCAGTAATGTACTTTAATTTATGTTTGTTTTTTTCTCAAATTTCTCTAATGACTTTTTACTCTCTTCCTCATAGTTCAATTTTGCTTATATATGTAAGATTATTTTGGGTGTAGATCATAGTTATTTGCTTGTTTATGGCTGCTTCTATAAGCCTTTGAGTCAGGCCTCTCACACAAGGGATGCTACAGCATCCACAGCAGTTACAACTCCCACAATTATAACAAGGGATGTTAAAACAGAGGCGACCATACCCTTCCATTTTCCAAACCATCCTTCCAACCAGTCTGTAAAAGGGTCACTGATGCCAGAGTTTTCAACTAATTCATTATCTAAAGTGGTGAGTCTCTGTAGGGCTTTAGTAATCGTACTATCAGGGGCAGTATTATTTGGGATAAAAGTACATTTTCCTCCTAAGATAACACAGACTCCTCCTTTTCCTGAATGCTATTCTGTTTTCCCAGGCCATCCTGCTGGTAGTATCTAGATGGCTAGCTACTCCTGGAAGAGCATGCCTGGCATAGTTAATAATAACCTTTCATTGATTATAGTAAATACAACTGACTAAATTTATTTTTTTGTTGATGGTGGACCACCAAAATAGTGCTGATTTAAACCCTACAGCTATTTTGTTACTAGCTTTAAATTCATTAGGGACTCTACTAAGGACTCCTATTGAGTCAATGTATACATTTAAATCAAAGGATCCTTGTAATAATCTGTGATTTTCTATGAAAACTTTTTTCATTGGGTGTGGAGAGAAATGCCAGGGTAAATGGAATAGACAATTGGACTAAAGCTCAAGTCCCAGTCCAGGTGGGTGGGAACGAGTAGTGCAGGTTCCACTTTCCACAGTACCAAACATCCACTCGGGATACATAACTTCAGGAAGTTGCCCTCTTTAGGGACATTTAGGACATGGGACAAGTTAGTAAGTTCCTCACAGGAGTTGTGAAACCTTCCCCTTGCCTAGAGAGGCATGAGGAGTGATTTATCTTCCTTATGGAAAAAGAGGGGATTGCCCTCGGGTCTGACTTCTTTAGTGCATAAAAGAGTAAAGACAAGCTCTTGCAAGTCTCATTTCTCCAAGCATCTTTGTTCTGATACAGGGCTAACATGCAGTTCATTCCAGTGGGGTCTGTGTCCCAGCTGAGAGGGAACAGGACCACCAGGACCACCTGCACCTGTGGCCTTCTAGCAGCACATGCATAACAATCACTTTAAGCTAGTACTGAAAATGTAACCCATTCTACCCAGGCATTGGTGTCTCCATAACCTATCTTTATTTCAAGAATCTGTTTTAGATCTTTTATGTCTGTTACAGTACCTAGTCTAGGTCATTATGGGGAAGCTCTGGCTCATTATTTCCCTCAGGATCAGGGGTGGCTACTATGGGTGAAGTCTTGTCTTTAATTAAATTAAGACTAAACTTTCTTACAGGATCTACTCTAATGACATCTGCACTCAGTCTGTGAACACCAAGGGCAATTACAGGGTCTGAGTCTAAGTCTTGAAGTTTATGTATAGTTAATAAAAGGGGGTTACACTGTCTGTCCTGGCAATTATCAGGAGGAATTCCTTTAGCTAAGTGGAGCTTTCTTTTTAAAGATTTTTCTGCTGCATGAGAGGCCTTCCACCCTTGAAACTGGGTAGTCCACCAAACACTGCT